AATTGTTAGATTTTGTAGCAAGCACCAAGCATCTCCTCAGCAAGGACCGTCCATTTTGTGGATGTCTCCCCATTTCGTCCGCTGACCCCGTGTGGACCTCAATCCTCTTGTCCCCGGTGCCTATGCTGCTCCGCAACCGAGTCGTGAATTCTTGACTCTCTCTCCGCTCACTTCGATGCAATGAGCGTATCTATCTCACTTCAATAGTTGAGCTCCTTCACATCTCTCATGTTGACGGTGACTGGAGTGCTCTGGAACCATTTTACAGATTCTTTGTCTGGGTCCGCCCACAGATGCAGGCTCCACCCATAGCATGTGTGCCCACATTTCTTGATCGGCGACCCTTCGATGGCCTTAGTCCACTCCTTTCCGGTGCCTAGAGTGCTTTGAACGTTTTACAGATTTTTTTCCGGCTCCACTCACTTCGGCGCAGGCCATGCCCACAACATATGTGCCCTACACTTCACCGGCCAGCCCTCGCTGACCTTAATCCACTTTTTTCCGGTCTCTGGAGTGTTCTGGAACCGAGCTACAAACTTTTGAAATGAGTATCCTGCGATTGAGGGCAAGCTCCGCCCACTGTGGGCGGTCTCAACACACTTTAGGGGTGCCAACATTCGCCGCATATTGCTCTTCTGCACCGAATTTTGGAATCCTAAAACGCTCTCGCTAACCGAGTTGCTGTGTTTTGGGAAGCACCGCTCATCTCAGCACGCCCCGCTCACTCTGGATGTCCTCCCCCAGTTGGTCTGGTATTCGCTTGCTAACCTTATTCCACTTTTTCCCCATCTCTGAGCTGCTCTCTTGATCCGACCTCTCTAAGTTGTTCTTCAAATCGAACCAATTTCCGGACAGACAGACGAACAAACATACAAACAGACTAAGCAAATTATGTATAGTGGGTGATACTTGACAGGGAAGTATTTAAACAGTCAACATGCAACATGACGTACTCTGAAGTACGCGTGACGCTGAACCAAAGTTCTACTTCAAATCTTGCTAAACGATTCTCTGAAGGGAGTTGTGGAGAGTTTTCGCCTCGCATTGTTGTTCCACATGCTATCGTGTGGAAGCGTGGAAGCGTCTTCCCATAAGTACAGGATAAGATAATGTGGCAACAGAGTGCAAATGGTAGAGATCGGATGTCATATGTGAAGAATGATGCCCGTGTGGTTACCAATTTTTTTTTCCAAGAAGAGATCTAGTCATACCTGGAATAGATCTTTTCCATAGCTCAGCATTCCTGGGACAGACTTCTACAGCAATAAACGTAGAGCTAACTCGTCATCCGGGCAGTTGATTAGGGCGGTCGTCAACGGGCCGCAGCGCGTGCCAGGAACTATTTGCTTTTCCAGGCTAATTTAGTCATTTTTTCCACCTTGTGAAGATAAGGAGCTGCTAATCTGGGAAAAAGTAGCCAAAACAGTGAAAAGTTGGAAAAAATGACTAAATTAGCCTGGAAAAAGCAAATAGTTCCTGGCACGCGCTGCGGCCCGTTGACGACCGCCCTAATCAACTGCCCGGATGACGAGGGTACGTCAGCGAAGCAAATTAATTTGTTGGAACCTTTGTGAAAAGCTGCACAGAAGACCAGTATCAGAAAAATACACGTGTAAGGGACCAAACTCGTTCGCAAATCCGAAAACGAAGAACGAAAGTGGAGGAACTAATCAGAAACTTTTTACAGTTGCGACATCGACAAGTATGTTGATTGACTGGGTAAACAAAGTCCTCCGCTCACCAGACCTTCCCCATACAATTTTATTAGCAGCGGTGTGTTCAGTCCTGCTAACAATGACGTTGATCAGCAGACCGACATACTCGGCAAGTCTTTTCTACGTTATATCACATCCAGTAATAATCAGCGAGAATCGGGCACTAGGAATAAGACCCGTTATCTCAACTTCGCCGTTTTAGCAAGAATCCAAACGGTTGAGTTGAATATGGTCTGAAAAGGGTTGAGAGGGTTATACAGCCTTGTTTGCTGCAGACACAGGAGTTTTAGAGGGCTGGGTTTAGCGCGGCACGTGCGTGCTCTCGACTCGTTGTGGAAACTAGTGGAGAAAAGGCTGGCGCCGCACCAAACACAGCCCATCTGAAAGGCTCACCGCCTCCGCAACGACCAAGAGTCTGCGATCAGGTATGAAAATATGGCGTCGGGAGGGCAATGTGGTCCGCGACCAATAACACTGTACCGGTTTCGCAGAACAAAAAGAATAGTACGGGAGGGGCCATAGCGCAACATAGGTTCAGTGACGCTCCCTTCATTCCGCAGGTCCTACTCGGGAAGCCAGCTGTGCGCATGAGGGCGTAGCATTGGCGATGGAGTCAGTTATACTTTGTTGTTCCGCTTAATTGCCCTTTTTTGACTATCTGTGCTAGCGAATGGTCGCGGGTTTTGCCTTTGAAGACCAGACTGATACGAAATTATGGTTCATCGTAGTGCTTAAGCTACAAAGCAGGGTAATCAGGATAGAATCAGGGATCTCAAAAGGACACGTATATGAGAATGCCGGCAACCAGGCCACTGGTAATTCATGGCATTCTCAGGAACATCGAGCTTCAAACTTTTGGTTATAGATGTGATTACATGAGAATAAGGTAAACGAGACGGGGTAGGCGGTGTTCGAGGTAAAGTTCGCGGTTCCCTTACCATAAACCCACCGTGAGACACTTTCACTAGTTAACAATAAGCCTGTTCATAAATTCCACCTGCCATTTTCTAACATTGCAATCTTCAGGGCTACTCATTGAAAAGTTCTGGCGAGCGTGAACTAACCATTCGAAGCGCTGTGGCGACGCTGCCGAAAAGGAGCACGCAAAACTGCTAAACTTTCTGGTTGACCGAATGTTCAACAATGTCTCTTTCAAGGATCCGGTTAGTATACACTGGTAAATAATACACTGAGTGTTAATAAGTGCTACTGGAACTTCGATGCCCGCCTCTGCTTTTTTTCCCTTCTCATTTATGTTTCATGTTCTCCATACGTGCCCTTGTCCAGGTATGTTCTATTGTTATATTGTATATTGTTATATGTCACCCTTATTTGTTACACTTTCAGCTTCACACGTTGGTGAAGCCGGAAGTGTAATAAGTGGGGGTAGCACACAAAACAAGGCACCCAGCTGCGATAGTATTACATTGAATGCCTTAATGGCAGTTGGCACGATAATTTGGTACCCGGTTAAAATGGTAGGGCGCTATATAGTGGGGAAATGGCGAAAGAACGGAGTGAAACGGTCAAAATCTGGCGAAGAAAGAGCCTTCATTCTCAATGACTCAAAAATCAATTTCGGACGAGTTTCCCGTACGCATCTTGCCAATAACCGCTACCGAAGATATAGGTGCATGTGTGTACTCATATATCCATGCAGCCCCGCTTCATACCAATCCCTTCGCTTCATAATTTGCTTAGCAAATGAATGAATACGAGCGTCAGGAACGGTCGTCCATTTGTGGGCGGGCGGGCGTGGCGGGCGTTTGGGTCGGAATGTTGTGGCTTGATAGGGCCCTTATAAGGGCACCTTCCTTGGAAAGGCGCTATGCAGCGCCTGCTCAGGGTCGCGGAATTCCGTCCTGCCAGGCATATTAGTCCTACTCGTTTTTGGGGATTTATCGTGCCAACTGCCTTTAATGGTTTCGGTTTTCATTACAATTTCCTTGAGGCACGCTCATCTGCAGGATGGATTCTTGCCAAAAGTGGATAGGCTAGCAGTTGTAAAAGTGCGCTGTTCGAACTTGATTGGAATCAGAGTGACCGCCGTGTTGACTAAACCTTGGATCTGGAATTCCAAGTCCCTGAATAGTCACATATTCCGTGGTTTTGTGAACGGCAGTGACTGCTAGATAACTGCCACTGAGTAGTCTCAACTACATTGGGTTAAGACGTAGCCTTCATAAGGATGATCGTGAGCGTTTTGCGTCTCGGCGGTCAGTGTGCACGTGCGAGGGCTGTACTCTCACTTCGCGGCAGCGTCCATCAGCGACCACCAGCATTTCTAGCGGCCGCTCAGCAAATAAGAAAGTATACATATAGGTCTATCGAAAAGCAGCGTCTACCAGCGTCCGCCAGCGACCAACAGCGTACACCAGCAACAAGGAGTGGAGAGTATAGTGACGTAGGAATTCAGCAGACTGTATGTGCTGTTAAAGTATAGGGAAGTTGAAGTGAGGAGGATTAGGCGTCATGAAATTAGCTGGATTAGGCGTCGTGAAATTGTGCCGTGGACAACCGCACCGCACCTTTACACAATACCGTACTCCTAACCGCCGGTGGACGCTGGGTCGCTAGTGGACAGTTCCGCAAAAAGTGAACGCAGCCTCACCCTTTTCTCCCTAAACAAGATTATAGGCATAGGAAAAGAAAACCACAAAACCGCGCTGCGATTAAATGCATCGATCTCATGAGCGCTTGTAGTCGAATATACCGCAGTCTCTTGCGTTCGACTCAGTTCCCCAGATTGCAGACGAATCAAGGCTGTGCTATACTGATTCAGCTGTTATTGTCGCAATTCGACGAGAATGAGCCTGCTCTCTGCATTTTCTGCCATTGGCTGTTTTCCACTTGAGCGCGGCCGCTATTGGTGGAATTGCAGTGGCTCATAGAATGATCCTACCCCTCCTGACACTAAACCCTTCGAAATGCGACGATACCTGCTGCTCGTAACGAAGTGAGATCTTACGAACAAAGAAAGGAAAAATGCACGATTCAAACATTTCCTTCATTTTTTAGTACGCAATTGTGTAACAGTTCTCTAAAAAGACCATAGAAATTATGAATTGTGTGTAGCAACTTGTCTAATAATTCCACGTAACTATGAAGTAATTGGTCACATTAAGTGAGCTTCGCCCCATCGAACACGGAGGCGGCTATTTCAATAATAAACACAGCGCAGTGCTCGGCTAGAATTTGATTTTTTTTATCCAGAGGCTGGGAGTGATCGAATACCTCATCGCACCAGACCCTTGGTTTTGTGTGGGCTCCACGTTCGTTGTGATCATGCCTATGAAGGTAGACGACATTGCCCGGAGAACAGAATACCGATCAACATATGCCAGCTCCAGCTACAAGCAAAAAGTGAGAAAATCTCTTTACTAGCTCTCAGAGAATATGTATATAAATTTCTAAATTTTTTGAATTTTAAATTCTTCCTGTATGTAAACTTCTCGTTTTACACCCGAAAGTAATGGTTCAGCCATAAATCTATGAATTCGTCAGATTTCTCAAGCTCGCACAGGCAATGGTTTTTTCCTTCGGCATATCCGCCTGATGCCCAGTACCGGGAGCGTGCACCCGCTTGGAGCCGACTCATTGTGGAATACTAGTTCACATTTTTTTTTCTTTTTTTGAAGCACTCCCCAAGAAGACACGGCCTTACTTCTGTTCATGAACTCATGTGGACTGATACGGCCCTCGCCCCCATTCTTGGAAAAACTCATTATGCAATGCAGCCTTAATTCTAAATGTAGTTCGAGCCCCGACTTGCTCCAAAGGACCTTTAAGGATCATTGGTCCTGTCCCTTATAATACATCCGTTTTTAAATCCGATGCCATTCAACGTGGCACCACTTACAGCAGCGAAAAAAACATAAAACAAGCTCAGTTCGCGCGCTCATTGATGGTTTTTCTCAGACTTTTTCCAAATGGATATAAAAATTTTGTGTGCTTCTTCAAAAATGCATCGTAAAGCGGAATCTTGCGCGAAGGAGACGGTGGTCGGATCCCGTGTAGAACTTAGGAACAACAGCGACATCGGTCAGGCAAAACCTTCGATTGAGATGATGTGGTCGATCTCATTATGGAATTGTCCACCAGGAGACTCCCATGTCCAGCGTAGAGAGTAGGGCTTCTGGAACTGCGAGTTACCATGGATGGTATGGGTCGACATGATAAACTCAGACAGCCTTTCACCCTGCTCATTCCACTCCGTTCCGTGAGTTCCGATGTGAAGTTCTTCAGCCGTTCTTCTTGGTCCGATCTTAGCGTTGAAATCACCGACGATGACCTTGAAGAAGGTATGATCTTCCTTGTAGAACTTCTCCAATTCCATATAGAACGCTTCGAGCTCATCCTCGTCGTAGCTTGATGTTGGTGCGTAGGCGACGAAGATTGTCAAAGCTGGAGTTGAACCACATCTTCTCAATCGCAAACGTCCGATTCGGGTCGTCAGACTTTCGTACGAATCGATGTTCATGGCCAAGTGCGTGTTGACGAGGACGCCCACACCGCCAACGCCTCTGCTGTCGCATGTTCCGAGGAACAGTTCTTCTCCAGTCTCGTATACGGCGTGTAGCGGGCGATGCCTCCTCGTCTCGGTCAGTCCGATGACGTCGTACTTGATTCCTGGCTTGCAACATCAGATCTTCGATGTGAGCTTCCGATGCAAGCGTCCGTGCGTTGAAAGTACAGATCGTCATCCTAGTCCTGGGCGACTTAAATCTCCGTTGGCCCTGTGATTCTTGCAGCCTCGCCCGAGCGGTCCCAGCCGACGTCGCCCTGTCGGTGGTTCCCTCAGGTTCAGGGGAATGAGGCCCATAATGTTACTGTTTTCGGCGAGAAGAAATTTAACCACGCGTAGCTCGCCAGGCTCTGACGTGGCACCCTCCGCATTGGTACGTTTTTGGAACAGTCCAAAACCGTTCACCCCCACGCCACGATGAGGCTGCGGATAGGATTTGTGGGGGAACCTGGTCAGTATGTAGGGCAAATACGCTAGGGTGCCTCAGGCTGGAATTTGGCCCTCGAACGGGCGCTTGGTAAGTTACACCAACTCCTAATTAACTATCTTAACCCCCCCCCCCACAATGGTAAACTACTCGCACAACTCCTATCATATCCATCAGTAGAAAACCATCTAAATTATCCAGTGGAGGTCGAAAAGTTCAGTAGTGGAATGAACGTAAATCTTCAAAAAATCCTAGTAATTTTCAAAAAATTCCAGTACAATTACGCCTTGCTGTTCGCCGTTGGCCTTTCAAAATCCAAAAATATTCAACGAAAATTGCATATTGAGAGTGAACGTTATGGCGACATTCTTCAAGCGGACTTCGAAGACGTATACCACAATCTTACACGGAAAGTAATATTTCCCGACATTATTTAGGCACAAAAAAGCAGTACTTGTCATATATATTGGATTGACGGGGAAATTTTGTCAGACTTTTCAATTTTGAAATGATCGATATTATGAGCACGATACCAAAGGTAATACTCTACTAGTACCATTTACCTATTACATCTCCCTCCTGTAAGGCCGCGTTCATAGCTTGCGACCGTGAAGAAATGCAGAAATGCGGAAACTGCAGAAGTGCGGAAAGTGCAGAAATGACGAAAAGCAATACATACGTATCGATTTGAAGAAATGCAGAAATGCGGAATCTGAAGAAATGCAGAAATGCCGAATTGCGGAAAATCGATACGTATCTAATCTTTTCGTCATTTCTGCAGATTCCGCATTTCTTCATTTCTGCATTTCTTCATAGTCGCAAGCTATGAACGCGGCCTAATATGAAGAAGAGCTCGTCCCATGCTGACTTTCCCATCGACTTCCTTTTTCTTCTAACGTTCCCGCTAGAGCTCCCAAAGCCAATTGAGGAGCTGCATAAGGACGATGCCCTCAGTTGCTTGACAGCCATCCACGGCGCCACTGCTTCAAAGCGCGAGGGTGCAATCTTGAAGACGAAGTGAGGTTTGGATGCATACCTCAACACAAGATAAGGGAAATGCGGCTTGTAGAGCTACTGTATGCAGATTCCGCTAACACGCCCAATAATTACACAAAATGAAGCGAATCGATGAGAGGGCGAAATTCGTCCGAGCTGTCTGCTTTCAACCGAACCTCATGCAGTACAGTTGTACGGCTCTCGTAAGCGCCTCTAGTACCCTGAAACTGCTCCTTCCGACTGCTGGTTATTTTCTGAGCTCAATACGACTTACGACCCGAGCCCATGTCAAAATCGAGCTGGCACCCGAGTTCGCTTTGCGCCACCCTACATTTTGCATTCATGAAGCGCCTAAACTTTGGCAACGAAAGTGGCGGATATACTGGTGGATATATAACAGTGGTGGATATACTTGATCACGAAAATTCTCTACAAAAAAAGATTTTTCTCAAGAAGCACATCAGAACTTCCCCGTCAAATCAATATGTATACTGCTAACGCCGTATAGTTGTCAGAATTTTTTAGTCGTAGTTTTACAGGTGTTAAGTGCACTTCGATTTGTAGTTTCATCGTGTCGTCAAACAAAGGCTATTGTGAAAGTTGATGATGATATTGGATGGAATATTAAACAGATCAAAGATTTCGTTATGGGTCCCCTCGATCATGATAAGATATATGGGCTACGGTGAGTGTCTCAGTAGAGTAGGAAAAAACTTCTCACAAACAATTTCAGGGATGCCACCAATAAACCAGAGCGATCTCAGAAATATCCGCAATGGTGTGTTGCTTTCAGACTCTGTTATCAAACAACTATCGTTTCTCTTAATTATTAAAGCCATCAGTTCCCTAAGTTACTCTCCCGCGTTGCCCTAGCACCTGCTCGTGGGCTCTCGCAAGCGACTGCTCAGATACTCGGAGCAGCTCCAATGCCCGGGTACAGGAGATCTCATCCCACGATTTTGCACGGGCAAGGGCAGCAAGGGATGAGATCGCGGACCCCGAATTTGCTCGGGTGTTCCGACTGATAGAACCGGAAAAGTGCCCGCCTCAGAACATATGGTTGCATGGTCACAATATACCACTTTAGACAGAACACATTCCCAATGGGAGCACAGATACAATGGGAAAACTACACGCGCCATTACCCGAGTAAGGCCACAGGAAAAAAAATGACATTTGTAATACCGCGAGGAGCCCTCCTCATTCCTTACCACGAACGAGGAAGCACTAGCAACTTTGTCAGGCTACGTCATAAAGTACAAAATGGGCGCTCCCTTAAAGGCAGCGCCCGCGTTCAAATTTGATGAGTATGCGGCTCAGGTAGTAATAGCAAGGTAGCAAGAAACCTATTAGTGAAGAAAAATCAAAAAGAAAACATGCAAAATGCCCTATAAGGAGTTTCATACCGAATAGCGGTTGTACGTGCTTAAGGCGAAGAGAAGGAGTGGTTGCACGAGTTCTCACTTGTTGATTTCAGCTGTTTCCCCTTATCACCTCACTCTCACCACACGACGTGGAGAGAAGCAGCAATGGAACAACCGCACCATCAGGCAACCATTAGAAATGAAGTTGGGCGTCGTGGTCGCCAGGTGGGCGGGGCGGTCGACTCTTTACTAGCGATAGGCGCTATCCTCTCGCCTTTGTGAGATGCAAAACTAGTACATACTGCATCC